ACTCTAAAGGTTAAAGACTATGACAAAGGATTAAGAAAGTCTTTACGGCAAAGGAAGAATGTATAACGAGGGATAAATGGGTTGGTGGTGCATGTAACAGGAAGGAAGTCTGTAGACAAAGACATAAAATGCAGAGACTATGAATTGGAAGATAACGAAGGGTTAAGAAAATCTTAAGGCAAAAACAGATGCCTCACTTTACTACACACAGCTTACAAAAACTCTAAAGACAAAACAATAGGTTGGTTTTAGACTTGTTGAATGGAGAAACTACTCACGGCTTAGAAAAACTCTAAAGGCAAAAACATTGGGTCAGCTTTAGACATGATGGATGGGAAGAATATGACCACGAGGCTTAAAAGTAGACAAAGACTGAACTGAGAACTATGCCTTTGTGATAACCACAAGGCTTAAAAGTAGACGAAGAGTATGGGTTGGCTTTTAAATTGTTGGATGTATCAAATGACCAAACCAATAGCTGAAAAAATTCGCTAACGACTGAAAAAAAGTCTTAACACAAAGACTATGAGTTGACCAAATCAGTCTTAAGACAGAGACTGAAACAAAAACATGTTCACAACTTAGAAACTTCAAGAGACAAAGACTTAAATAGAGAGACAACCAACGACTTAAATAGAGAGACTGGAACAAAAGGTCAGATTCTTTATTTCATCATTCACGGCTTAGAAAAGTAATTAGACAAATACTTTGGGGCTGTTTCTGACTTGTTGCATTGGAAAAATACCACACGGTTTTAAGAATTTAAAGGCAAAGACTCTTGACAAAGATTATGAATCGAAAAGAGAATCATATTTAACCACACGGCTTAGAAGTCTATAGACAAAGACTTTGGATCAGTTCAGACTTGTTAGATGGCAAAAACGACTAACGATTGTAAAGAAAAAAGACCAACGGCTTAAAGAAGTCACGAGGCAAAGGTTCTTGACAACGATTATGAATCTGAAAAAAGATTCTTAAACAGCTTAAAAGTCTCTAGACAAAGACTATGGATACATCCAGACCTGTTAGATGGTTTAAACGACTAACGACTTGCTATATGGAAAAAAATACCAACCGCTTACATATATCATAAGGTTAAAGATTCCTAACTAATTCTGATTTTTTTTTCAGGTTTGTGATTGAGAAAGTTTTCAAAATGTTATAGACTCGGAGGAGATTTCAAGTATTACGGACTTCCGTGACAGGTATGTGCTTTCCATGAAATGAAATGAGAAATCCATTTATAATTAGAAAACGTATTTCTTAAGATAGCTGTCTTGACAATATGATTATCTAGCCTTGATCTAGTAGAAACTCATTGCTAATATCCATTGATAAAAGATATATTTTGCATTTGATATTGGTACGTTATATTTTTATGTTTACAGTGTAAACAATATTTCTTTTGATTAGAAAATACTTATTTTTTTATGGTGCTTTGTATGCATCATAATGAAATGGATTTCTTTTTTAGTCTCCGTAGATATTTTTTTGTAATGTAAGAGAAGAATATTCTTACAGATTGTAGTAGTAGTTTCTTTAAATTTAGAATGTGTATATTTATCTCTTTTTGACTAGAAAATACTTATTTTCTCTATTTTAATGTTTGTATTCATTTTATGTAATGTCTTGGAGTCTCTGTAGATATTTATTTTGGATGTAAGAGAGAGTCTTGTAAATAATGGTAGTAGTCAAACAGAAAATATTTATTACTCGGTGATCGACCCGCACAGTGTGCGGACTATAAAATATTTTATATGTTAAATATATGATTAATATCATATATTAAATATACCTTATTTGTATACGAATAATATTATATATTAAATATGTTTTATTTGTATATGATTAATTATGTATTAATAATAAAATTATATAATTATTTAATAATTAAAAACAATAATAAATCAAATAAAAAATATTATAGATTTCAATAGAAATTGAAGATAAAAAAAATTAACCCTGATTTTTTAAAATACTTTATTAGATAAAAAGTGTAAATATGATAACTAAATAAACTGAAAACATTAAAATATATAATAATTTATTTAATTTTTATGGTTGGTCCGCACGCATGTGCAAGTATAATTTTTTATAGATATAATTAGTTGTAATATTTAAGTATTGATTAATTTATTATACATACATAAGCGTTATGTTTTTATACATATACAGTTTTAGCGTTTAACAACAATCACACAAACATTTCATATCATATTGTGTCTTTAGAAAACTTATTATGTAAGCGTTACATTTTTTTACATATACAGTTTTAGTGTTTAACAACAATCACACAAACGTTTCATATCGTTTTGTGTCTTTTGAAAAAAATTTGTTTGTCCTAACGTTTAGAGTAACATATAATTATAAATGTAAAAGTTATATTAAATAATAATTAAATTCTTATAATATGTTTTGAATATATCTATCAAATAATAATTAAATTCTTGTCAATATATATATTTTAAGTATACATTTTTTCTTAAACTATTGCTAAGTAAACCAAAATAGGTTTTACCATTACTACTTATCCTAAGAGCGGGTAGATGATTGGTTCGCACATTCGTGGATACCAACCACCTCACCGCTCTTAGGACATATAGAGATTTTTTTAATAAATACAAATTTACTAAAAACTAAAATTTAAATTGGACTGTAATCGAGGGGTTAAGAAAATGTATGCACAAAAAATTTGCATGTGACTTTGATTTTTAAACAATTAATATTTATATCTACGTGCATATTTATGAAAAAGTTGAAGTATGGAGTTTATGTGTTAAAAGAAGATAACAAAATAGCTGTTTTGTAATATATATTTTTATAATGTATGATTGATTTTTTTTATAAAAAAATATGTATATATGCATGTAGGTATGAGTTATAAATAAGTGAATTTTAATATTTAGGTGTTGATTAGTTTTTCTGATATTTTTCGCAAACATTATGATTTTACACAACACAGTTTTTTGGCGTTTAATTACAATCACGAAAACCGTTTCTAAAGTTTTGTATTTAATCAAAATTTCTTATTTATCAGTATTTTATGATATATGGTTTCTCAATCAATACTGTAATAAAGATTTACTATAAAATTTATTAATTCTTATTTCATAAAATTCTCTGGTAGCTCTCCGGTCACCTCTTCGTCAAATTATTTATAGCCTGCAATAGCTCACTTCCACAAACTCTATAAACCAGCTGGATCCTAAACTTATATGTGTATGGTTGAAAGTGTAAAATAATATATTTAATATTTAATATTTAATTGTTATATTACAAAATAAGAGTTCTTCTATTCCTAACTTTGATATATGTGTCATGTTACATATAATGGATCATAACACATACAAAACTTGATTTATAATATAATATTATGAGATGTTAAAAAAATATATGCATGAAAGAATTAATATGTGTAAGATAATATTTTTAAATATTTCAAAATAAAAATATAAAATATATCAAAATTATTCTTTTTTGTCTTCTTTGACTCATATTTTTTTTCTTAACTTTGAATAATATATTAAACATTAAGATCATCTCCAAAATATTTTTTTATTTTTTCCTCTAAAATATAAGTAGATTTTTTCCCAACCTGTTTCAATTTTAATGGAAAAAGAAATATTATTATTTTTTCTTCCAATTATAGAAGAGAAATAACATCGCTATTTTTCCTCTAAATTAGATGATTTAGAAAATGTGGGTTAGATATATTTTAAACGAAAGGCATAGTCTGAGAGTTTTACAGAAAATCAAAGTCGTAAAAATTCATTTTTACTTCTACTTCTTATAATAAATATTTGTTATAAAATTTGTAAAATCATATTTTATAAAAATTCTCCGGTAGCTCTCTGTTCATCTCTTTGTCCAATATTGAAGAATTGATTTGATGAAAAAAATAAATTTCTTATGGTTGGTTTGTACGCATGTGTTCATTATAAAATTTGAGCCACATATGCATTTATTAAAAAATGTCGTTCTTAATATTTTTAAGGACTTCGTAAAACAAAGTTTGAAAGTGTTACAGAAAACAAAACTATAGACATTTTTTTTACTTCTACTTTTATTCATATTTGTTTTCTTTAATTTATAATTTATTTTTTTATCCGGTTACATTGCGTTTTATTTTCTGAATTCTCTATCTATAATGAGATTGTATATATGAGTATGACTATGATATAAACTTTTAATTTATTTTTTTAAAAAGGATAAGAGATAAAATAAAATGGTAATGTGAGGCAAACTATACAAATTCCAGAAAACAATAATATAAAAATGTTAAAAATTATAAACAAATAATAATATATCATACTCCTAACATTATTAATATATAGCGTATATACTATCTTATTGGATAATCTATTATTCTTTTCTATTTAAAAATTTAAAATATATATTGGTTGTAAAATTTTTGTAATCATATTTTATCCAATATAATATAAATATATGTAAAAAAAATGAAATCAAAGTAATTATTATTTTCTGTTTATTTAAATTTATTATTTTTATTGTTATAACCTAGTGTATTTATGTTATAATTTTATAATTTATTTAATTATAACTCAACCAATCAAAATATTTCGTTTATTTTAGGAAATTTGTCACGTCACATTTACATATCACAATTCTATGTCACAATTCCATATTACTATTAATTTACACTAATTTTTGCTAAAGTGATAGCACATCAGATTTTTTTATTAAACATCCTTCTCAGATAATAGTTAAGATATGAAATTAATATATCTTAGAGTCTCTTGACTTTACTTCCGTAGGGAACTTCTCTTCCTTTTTTTTTTTTTTTTTGTCGAAAGCTCTTCCTCTTTTCTTGCTTCATCTAATTCTAACGTATCAAATAACGTATGCATACGCATGCATGAGAGCTATATATAAAACCATAAGTCTATAAACATTATACAACTATTATTTCCAAATAAAATTGATAATTCAAAATTATGTTAACACTTAACAACTAAGATCAACTTTACACAAGACTGAATATGCGCAGTAGACCATGACTAAGTTTTTTTTTTTTTTTGAATAACAAAACATAAATATAGCTTTTCTCAATAAACTAAAATAAACGGTATAATACAAAAATATATTTCTGACTAGGTTGTGTCTACAACTAGTTAGTTGAACTTTGTATAAAAAACTTTTAAAGTTCATTTTTGTATGCGTCGATCTATTTTGTATACAAATAGCAATATTTAGTTTGTACCTTGATATGAAAACTGCATAGTTCTGTTACACGTGCTGCATATACATATATGATTTTTTTAAATTCGAGTTTTCCTAACTTCTTGGAAAACTACTTGTCCAACATGGCCTGAAAAAACAATAACCAAAGATTCTAATAACAATCATGTCCTAACTCTATTGCTACAATATCTACAACTAACCAAAGAATTAATCAACACAATTATGCTTTGACAATAGGCTTGTGAACACAATATAAGAAACATAAAAGAAAACAAACAAATTTAAAAACCTCAAAAACAAAATGGCAGTTTCATCACATCATGTGGTTCTCTTCCCTTACATGTCAAAAGGCCACACCATCCCTCTTCTCCAATTCGCCCGTCTCCTCCTCCGTCACCGCCGCAAACAACCAACCATCACCGTCTTCACCACTCCCAAAAACCAACCTTTCGTCTCCGACTTCCTCTCCGACACGCCGGAGATCAATGTCATCTCTCTCCCTTTCCCGGAAAACATCTCTGGAATCCCTCCCGGCGTCGAGAGCACCGACACGCTCCCTTCCATGTCACTCTTCGTGCCGTTCACGCGCGCCACGAAGCTTCTCCAACCTTTATTCGAAGAAACGCTCAAGAATCTTCCAGAAGTTTCCTTCATGGTCACCGATGGTTTCCTCTGGTGGACATCGGCATCTGCAACTAAATTCAAGATTCCAAGATTGGTCTTCTTCGGATGGAACTCCTACTCATCAGCCGTTTCAATCGCTGCCTTGAAACGCAGACCGGACATTGAATCTCAAACCGAACCGGTCACTTTACATGACTTTCCATGGATCCGGGTTACGAAGTCTGACTTCGACAACGGTACCGATCCGAAACAATCGGGTCCAGTGACCGAACTATTCATGGACCAAATCATGTCGAGCCATACAAGCCATGGTTTTATAGTGAATAGCTTCTACGAGCTTGATGTTGAAAGATAAACTTGATTTTGGATCATGCTTAAATATTGGGTTAATGATCCAATAATAATTTGGTCAAAACCTAATTATGCTTAATCAAAGATTCTAGAGTTTTCTCTAGAAAAATCAACACTTCCACCTCCTTAAAATGTTCTAGAGAGTTGTAGAGAATAAATATCTAGAGATTTCTCTAGATAATTGTTGTAAAATAATCTAGATATTAAGATAGAATTCTCTAGATTTAGGAATAAAATATTTTAGATATTTTGTACTTTGGAGGCTATAAATAGCTACCTTCTCTCTCATTTTGTAACTAACAAGCTAAAAGAAATAATAAGGGAAGTTAAGTGAAGTTCCTAAGCTCTCTAAGTTCTAAAACTTTGTTCTTCTTAAATTTGTTCCTTTGTCTTTCAAATTCTTAAACACCCTCTCCATCACTCTTAAAAGTTCATACTTTCCAACAAAGTGGTATCAGAGCTAGAAGATTCTCTTAAAGATGGCAAGTAATGGCGTTCCCTTCCAAGTTCCAATGCTCACTAAGAGCAACTACGACAACTGGAGTCTAAGAATGGTGGCCATTCTAGGAGCACATGACGTGTGGGAGATTGTCCAAAAAGGCTACATTGAACCGGAGAATGAAGGTAGTCTTTCTCAAACTCAAAAGGATAGTTTGAGAGACTCAAGGAAGAGAGACAAGAAGGCTCTCTGTCTCATCTATCAAGGATTAGATGAAGACACATTCGAGAAGGTTGCCGGAGCAAAGATGGCCAAAGAAGCATGGGAGAAGCTTCGAACTTCTTACAAGGGAGCAGAGCAAGTCAAGAAGGTACGTCTTCAAACTCTAAGAGGATAATTTGAAGCATTACAAATGAAGGAAGGTGAACTTGTCCAAGATTACTTCTCAAGAGTTCTAGCGGTTACTAATAACCTAAAGAGGAATGGGGAGAAGCTAGATGAAGTAAGAATCATGGAGAAGGTTCTTAGATCGTTGGATTCAAAATTTGAGCATATTGTCACTGTCATTGAAGAGACGAAAGATTTGGAGGATATGACAATGGAGCAACTACTAGGATCACTACAAGTCTATGAAGAAAAGAAGAAGAAGAAGGAAGACCTTGCAGAACAAGTACTCAAGATGCAAATTGATCAAACCAAAGATGGAAGCGGCCGAAGTCATCCAAGAAGAGGTGGTGGTCAAGGACGAGGAAGAGGTTATGGCTATGGAAATGGACGTGGCTGGAGGTCCTATAAAGATAAGACTAACCAAAAAGGAGAAAGCTCATCAAGAGGACGTGGGAGAGGAACTCCAAAATCAAGGTACGACAAATCAAACGTCAAATGCTATAATTGTGGGAAGTTTGGCCATTATGCTTCAGAATGCAAAGCTCCAAACAACAATAGAGTTGAAGAGAAGTTCAACTATGCTGAAGAAAGAATCCAAGAACAAGATATGCTATTAATGGCATACAAGAAGGATGAAAGAGATGAGTTCCACAAGTGGTACCTTGACAGCGGTGCAAGCAATCACATGTGCGGGAAAAGAAGCATGTTCGTGGAGCTCGATGAATCAGTGAAAGGAGACGTGGCCTTAGGAGATGAATCAAAGATGGAGGTGAAAGGTAAAGGAAAAATTCTCATCCGAATGAAGAATAGAGATCATCAATTCATCTCCAACGTTTACTATATTCCAAGTATGAAGACCAACATCTTGAGCCTTGGACAACTTTTAGAGAAAGGTTATGATATTCGACTAAAGGATAATAGCCTTTCTATAAGAGATCAAACTAACAATCTCATCACCAAGGTGCCGATGTCGAAGAATAGAATGTTTCTTCTTAACATTCAAAATGACATCGCAAAATGTCTCAAAATGTGCTACAAGGAGGAGTCTTGGCTTTGGCATCTTCGTTATGGACATCTCAACTTTGGAGGCTTGGAGCTACTCTCTAAGAAAGAAATGGTGAGAGGATTGCCCTGCATCAATCATCCAAATCAGGTGTGTGATGGGTGCCTACTTGGAAAGCAATTCAAAATGAGCTTTCCAAAGGAGTCAGAGACAAGAGCACGGAAGCCATTGGAGCTCATACATACAGATGTTTGTGGCCCAATTAAACCAAGATCACTCGGTAAGAGTAACTACTTCCTTCTCTTTATTGATGACTTTTCAAGAAAAACATGGGTTTACTTTTTGAAAGAAAAATCAGAAGTATTTGAGAACTTCAAAAAGTTTAAAGCCCATGTTGAGAAGGAAAGTGGCCTTGTGATCAAAGCTATGAGATCTGATCGAGGAGGAGAGTTCATGTCCAAAGAGTTTCTGAAGTATTGTGAAGACAATGGCATTAGGAGACAATTGACGGTGCCAAGATCCCCTCAACAGAATGGAGTAGCAGAAAGGAAGAACAGAACAATTCTTGAGATGGCGAGAAGCATGCTCAAAAGTAAGAAGCTACCAAAGGAGTTTTGGGCAGAAGCAGTTGCATGTGCGGTCTATCTGTCAAACAGATCCCCAACAAGAAGTGTTTGGGAGAAAACACCACAAGAAGCTTGGAGTGGAAGAAAGTCCGGTGTTTCACATCTAAGAGTCTTTGGAAGCCTTGCCCACGCTCATGTACCTGATGAGAAACGAAGCAAGCTAGATGACAAAAGTGAGAAGTACATCTTCATTGGGTACGATGCAAACTCCAAAGGCTACAAGCTCTACAATCCTGATACAAAGAAGACAATCATCAGTCGGAATGTCATCTTTGATGAAGAAGGAGAATGGGATTGGAGATCAAATAATGAGAACTACAACTTCTTTCCGCATATTGAAGAAGATGATTTGGAGCAGCCAAGAGAGGAGCCAATTACCCCACCAACCTCACCAACACCAAGTTCTCAAGGAGATGAGAGTTCGAGTGAAAGGACTCCACGTTTTAGAAGTCTGCAAGAGCTTTACAAGGTAACCGAAAATCAAGAAAACCTTACCCTATTTTGCCTGTTTGCGGATTGTGAACCCATGAACTTCCAAGAAGCAATGGAGAAGAAGACATGGAGAAACGCAATGGATGAAGAGATCAAGTCAATACAGAAGAATGAGACATGGGAGTTAGCTTCACTTCCAAATGGGCATAAGGCGATTGGTGTAAAATGGGTGTACAAAGCGAAGAAGAACTCCAAAGGAGAAGTTGAAAGATACAAGGCAAGATTGGTGGCAAAGGGCTATAGTCAAAGAGCTGGAATCGACTATGACGAGGTATTTGCTCCTGTTGCTCGATTAGAAACAGTTAGACTAATCATTTCATTAGCAGCCCAAAAGAGGTGGAGGATACATCAAATGGATGTCAAATCAGCCTTCCTAAATGGAGATCTTGAGGAAGAAGTCTACATTGAGCAACCACAAGGCTACATAGTTAAAGGAGAAGAAGACAAAGTCTTGAGGTTAAAGAAGGCGCTCTATGGGTTGAAACAAGCACCAAGAGCTTGGAACACTCGTATTGATAAGTATTTCAAGGAGAAAAGCTTCATCAAGTGCCCATATGAGCATGCACTATATATCAAAACACAGAAAAATGATATATTGATTGCATGCTTATATGTAGATGACTTGATATTCACAGGCAGCAATCCAAGTATGTTCGAGGAATTCAAGAAGGAGATGACGAAGGAGTTCGAGATGACCGATATTGGATTGATGTCTTACTACCTTGGAATTGAAGTGAAACAAGAAGACAATGGAATCGTCATCACTCAAGAAGGTTATGCTAAAGAAGTGCTGAAGAAGTTCAAGATGGATGACTCGAATCCAGTTTGTACTCCAATGGAATGTGGAGCCAAGTTATCAAAGTATGATGAAGGAGAGAGTGTGGATCCAACACTCTTTAAGAGTTTGGTTGGGAGTCTACGTTACTTAACATGCACAAGGCCTGATATCTTACATGCAGTTGGAGTTGTGAGTCGATACATGGAGCATCCAACAACCACTCACTTCAAGGCAGCTAAGAGGATCCTTCGCTATATCAAAGGTACTATCGACTTTGGCTTGTATTACTCTATTTCTGATGATTACAAGCTTGTTGGATATAGCGATAGCGACTGGGGAGGAGACGTAGATGATCGGAAAAGCACAAGTGGTTTTGTGTTTTTCATTGGAGAAACAGCTTTCACATGGATGTCGAAGAAGCAACCGATTGTCACTCTTTCCACTTGTGAAGCGGAGTATGTAGCGGCTACTTCATGTGTTTGCCATGCTATTTGGTTACGAAACTTATTAAAGGAGTTGAGTTTGCCACAAGAAGAGCCGACGAAGATCTTTGTGGACAACAAGTCAGCAATAACTTTGGCAAAGAATCCTGTCTTCCATGATCGAAGTAAGCACATCGACACTCGCTATCATTACATTAGAGAATGTGTTACCAAGATGGATGTGCAGTTGGAGTACGTGAAGACGGACGATCAAGTAGCTGACATCTTTACCAAGTCACTCAAGCGTGAAGCCTTTATCAAGATGAGAAGTTTGCTTGGAGTAGCAAAATCAAGTTTAAGAGGGGGTGTTGAAAGATAAACTTGATTTTGGATCATGCTTAAATATTGGGTTAATGATCCAATAATAATTGGGCCAAAACCCAATTATGCTTAATCAAAGATTCTAGAGTTTTCTCTAGAAAAATCAACACTTCCACCTCCTTAAAATGTTCTAGAGAGTTGTAGAGAATAAATATCTAGAGATTTCTCTAGATAATTGTTGTAAAATAATCTAGATATTAAGATAGAATTCTCTAGATTTAGGAATAAAATATTTTAGGTATTTTGTACTTTGGAGGCTATAAATAGCTACCTTCTCTCTCATTTTGTAACTAACAAGCTAAAAGAAATAATAAGGGAAGTTAAGTGAAGTTCCTAAGCTCTCTAAGTTCTAAAACTTTCTTCTTCTTAAATTTGTTCATTTGTCTTTCAAATTCTTAAACACCCTCTCTATCACTCTTAAAAGTTCATACTTTCCAACACTTGAGTCAGCATTCGTTGATTACAACAACAACTCTGATAGGCCCAAGTCGTGGTGTGTTGGCCCGTTGTGTTTGACAGATCCTCCTAATACGGATCATGCTAAACCGGCTTGGATTCATTGGTTGGACCGGAAACGAGAAGAAGGACGTCCGGTTTTATACGTGGCGTTTGGAACGCAGGCAGAGATATCGAACAAGCAGCTCAAGGAACTAGCTTTGGGCTTGGAAGATTCCAAGGTACGTATTACTATAACTAATGGCTTTAAATAGATAATCCATGTGAAATGAAACTTATAAGCTTTTGATTCAACCTTTCAAGTAGATTGACGAAAACGCTAATTAGGTGTTATACTACTTTTTTGTTTTGTTTTGTTAAGGGCTTCTTAGGTTGTATGTTTTAGAGTGTATATAGACCTATTTTTGTCAACCATATTTTGTAACATGCAAGTTTGTATTAAGTTTATAAATGCATATATTAAATCAAAAAGCGTTTTATTTTATGACGTGTTTTTGATCGATCCTTTAACAAAAAAGTGTTTTTGATCGATCACAAGAAAAGACGTGAATTTTTTTAAGAAATTAAAATAATATAGAGGCCATGTGGTTACAAAATAAAGATTTGTCGTTGTCAAAAAAAAAAAGATGATTTGTCTATTCATTTGTTGACTAGCCAGATTATATTAGTTGTATATGCGCATTTTTATTGAACCGTTTAAGTAGACATATAAGCTTTTTTGTCGACTAAATTCCATGACTTTTTTTGTTGTTGTTGTTTAAAGTATTCCATGACTTAAGTTTTAAAAAGTGACTACAAGTTAAGAATAATTGGTTATAAATGCTTATCGCGAAGTAATAATGTTTTTTAATCTCACCACAACGTGTTTGATCCTTGAAGGTAAACTTTTTGTGGGTCACAAGAAAAGACATGGGAGATATTATTGGAGAAGAATTCAAAGATAGAGTTAGTGAGAATGGGTTGATAGTGAGAGATTGGGTGGACCAATGGGAGATATTGTCACATGAAAGTGTAAAAGGATTCTTGAGTCACTGTGGATGGAACTCAGCGCAGGAGAGCATATGCATTGGGGTCCCATTACTGGCTTGGCCGATGATGGCTGAGCAACCACTCAACGCGAAGATGGTAGTGGAGGAGATAAAGGTCGGAGTAAGAGTTGAAACCGAAGATGGGAGTGCGCAAGGATTTGTGACTAGAGAGGAACTAAGTCGAAAGGTATGAAGAAGCATACAAAATATAATATTAATAGAAATCAAGGCTCATTTCCCACAAAAGAAGAAAACAATTCACCCATCTATTTATTTCTTTATTTTACAAAGAAATCTTGATTTTATAATTATGTCAGGGGGTTATCTCATTTCTTGATGTCTTATAAATATATTTTATATTACAGATTCAAGAAGTAATGGAAGGAGAAACCGGAAAACTCGCAAGAAAAAATGTGAAAGAATACTCGAAAATGGCAAAAGCAGCTTTGGTCCAAGGGACTGGTTCGTCTTGGAAGAATTTAGATTTGATTTTTGAAAAGTTTATGTAAAAGTATAGAGCCAAAGAGGGTGCTAATAAGATTCAGGATTGGATTACTAACCGATTGGTTTAGATAATATCCAATAAGGACCAATAAGTCTTGGTTTGGATTAAAAATTGACCAATATAAACTAAACCGGTGGAAGTTAAACCATCATCATATAATATATAAAAGTTGAAGGCATAATGCATTGAGAGCGTCCACATGAGATTAAAAAACTCGATCTGATTGGTCCACATCAGCATATTCATTAATTAAAAAATGTTAAGTACGATTAGGATGAAAAAACTTGATTTAACTGGTCCACATCAATTTTTTAATCAAACCAAAAATGATTAAGTATAATTAAAATATTAAAAGTTAATTTAAAAAATTATGTCTAACAAAAAAGTAAATTCAATCTGATTGATCCAAATCGACATATTTATTAAATCAGAAAATGTAAATATGGTTTAAAAATTTAAAAGTTGAATAAAAAAACTAACAATTAACAATACATGTTTTAAAAAAAAAGTAAACATTATCAATTTTAAAAAAATTTATAACAACTCGATTTAAAAATTAAAATAATGAAAACTAAATAAAAATATAACATAAAACTCTTGGAAGACATGATGAAGAAAATAAAAATAGTTTTGCATGATCATTACAGATTCCTAACAAAATTAAATGTGAATCAACATGAATCATGGATTATATATGCAGTGGTACACAACATCAATAAGACTTTCAATAAAAACCTAAATATTTGAACACATAAACCTTCAAGAAAAAAAGAACTATAGAAATTCTATGGAAAATAGGAAATAATACCAAAATCTTAGCAATATTATATTTCTCTAAATCAAATGTATATGTACGTCAAAGTTGGATAATTCGATAGATGTCATTGTTATTATTTTACTTAATAGTTTTTTAAAATTTATAAATAAAATAGGATAAATTACATATTATATATTAAATTCTCTTATATAAATGAAAATTTCTATAATTATATTACATTTTTAATAATTTTAAAGATAATAGCTAAAAAATTAAACCAAAATATTAATACAGACTCGCGCGTAGCGCGAGTTATATACCTAGATCTTTTATAAAGTAGAAAACTATGGATATTCGTATTCATATTTTTTGACTATGTAAATTCAATTGTATTATTTAATTAAATAACTAATGATAATTATGTATATCAATATTATTGATTGATGCAACTAATCTCATCACTTATATTAACTGATGTTAATATATGGTTATTTGTAATAATTGATACTATTATTATTATTTAATTCAGTTAAAATAAATGATATTAATATTTACTATAAGTTATAATAAATGATGTTACATATTTATATCATATACTTTAGTTGATAGTATTGTTATGTAAATTATAAATCAGGGATATTAAAATGCATGTTGATTTTAAATTTTATGTTAATATTTTTTATAATATAATAAATTTAAGATAACTAATAATTTTATACTCTCTCCGTTCCTAAATATTTGATGGTTTATAAATTTTCCTTGTTCCATAAAGAGTGATGTTTTAGAGTATTAAATATATTTTTTGTGTAAATTTCAAGAAAAGCATTTAAAATTATTTAAATTCTGAAATTACTATTGGTTAACAGTTGTTAAAGAGTAATGATTATAAAAAAGTAGTGTATTAATAACTAAAAGTAACTATTTCCTAATTTATGTGAACAAGCCAAAACATCATATTTTTTGGAACAGAGAGAGTATTTTTTTATTATAAGAAATCTATGTAAATACATACATATGATTTAACATAATTTTTTTTTGGTGTTGATGAATTTCTTTTATAGAAGAGAAAACTAGTAATCTTCAGCATTCTTAGCAATGTGGGACAAATAGTTGTCTAATTGAAATTTTATTTGCATCACTTTTATAACTGAAAGAAATATTAGCATATTAATGTTAATGCCAGTTGATCAAATGCTTCATTTATATAATTGGTATAAACTTAAGTAATCTCTTTTATATAAAAAGGATAGATTTCATACTCTCTAAGGGGTGCCACATAGGCAAAAATAATCAACCAATAAGAATATAACAAATTGTCACATCGTTAAATTATAAAAAAACTAACCAATAAAAATAAGACAATATACCACATCAGCAAAAATAATTAACCAATGGTAGATTTCAAAACTGCTATGTCATCTTCTCCAATCAAAAATTTAAAGCCATTTTATTAAATAATTTATTAATCAAAATTTCTTCAAATTTTACCTAAAAAAGCTTTTATAATTCTTAAATTCTCAATAAAAAAACAAAGCTAAAGAAAAAACTGCAAACGAATTACACTAAAACTCAATTATAAAGCTTAAACAAAAGCTTATTTTATGGAGTCATCGTCTTCTCGGTTTCCAATCATCTCGCCTCTGATTCACAAGAAACGGAATCAGCCGTCACTAAACACAAATTATACTTATTAATTAATGACAACCAAACTGGTGATAAACTATAAAATTTAAATAAGTGGAGCATAAATATTTGGAAATCCAAAAGACATAGCAATGAGGATGTAAAAAAAAAAGATAGAGCGATGAGCCACATATGGTATAAATAATACATAATTCTATCACAAATGAAGTCTAATGTGTCTCATGATTGAGATTGTTGTAAGCAACATAAAAATACAATCTCAAAACTATTTTGCATTTATATTTACAATGTGAATCAAGTAGAATGAGTCTGAATCATAGTATTGTTGGAACTAGAGAACGTCTTTCTCGCCAAAAGTAAAACTTAAGGAGCAACTCAGTTTTCTTTTGTCTAGAGAAAATTAATTTATACAATTGTAACTTTTTAACTTATAACAGATTTCAAGTTTCTAAAGTTGATATAGAGTTTCATATTGTTCGTTGTAATCCGATATTGTAGAAAAACTGAAGTAAAAACCTAACTAAAGAACCGGTGATTAAAGACAGTTACTTACAGTTTCTTAATTTTTATTTGCAAAATTTCATGAAACATAAAACTGAAAAGATTTTTTTTTTTTCAAATAACATATAACGATAAATTCCTCACTCTTCACCAATATTGACAAATGATTGAGCTAGCTAAACTATCAAACAAATATTATATCAATCAATAAAGAACTCATATAATAAAAAAAGTTTATTATTAATTGCCATTTGTTTTCTTCGTTGAATATATGAACTAATTATAAAACATCTATGTACATACTGAATCTTAAAAAACTGATGAGTAGAGAAATGCATACTATATGAAAATTAAAAACAAAATCCTAATACACAATATGAAACAAAAATAGAGTAAGGATTGAATTTTTCTTTTTAAAAGCATCAGGCAAAAGGGAAGCTTATGCAAAATATTTTTGAAAGTATAAAAAAATACTCATAGTGTTCACTAAAGAAATAGCATTATAACATAAGATGTCCAAATTTAGACAATATATTTCTGATATAATATATAGTTCATGTGGATACTATTTACATAAACAAAAAATATAACAAAATTACAAATCAAATTATTATACAAAAATGTCAAACTTTACCCTTCATATTTCCAAAAACATGCATTAACTCTTAAAAAAAAGTTTGACTAAGCCAAAAGGTATATTTATCTACTTTCAAATTATTATACAAAAATTTTGATCATCTTTTCACATATATATATACATCCTTCTGATACTTACTTTGCTCGATTATATCTAAGAATCACATGCAAATATACTACTCTATAATTTATCACAATATTAAACACAAAATTAATTGACAACCTTTTATAAAATTACAATATAACTATATAATCCATGCGTAGCATGGGCAAAACACTAGTATTAAGTAATAATGACTTGTATCAGTTTTTTTAATTGATGTTTATCAAATTAGTATTAATATTAATTATTTTTAATTGATACTAGTTATTAATATCAATTAAAAATTGATGTAAAATATTTTTATATTTAATGTCAATTTTTAATAAGTAATTTTAAATAGAATCAGTTATTTTATTTATACTTGTAGTGATCCAACATTAACCAAGTGTTCTTACAAGAATTCTTTCTGATGGAGCAATAAGCATCATTACCATGGTTTACATTTCCACTGACTTGTCAAGAACTTTTGAAATAGGTCATGAGGTCAAGACGAGTGTCTTTGGTCTGACTTGACCTCGTGACCTATTTCAATTGTAAACCTATTTCTCATAGCATTACTTAGACACGAAAGTTTGTGTCTTAGCTCATTTACTTTTTCAGCTTCTTGTTACCTTTTTTTTTTTTTTTTCTGGTCTACGGTCATGCAACCATGATTCATTCATTGGAATTGGGTGTAGAATCATGTTCGAATGACCTATTGTTTTAGAGAATGCAATCTACTTTTTCTAAGCTTAATCGTTTATATAGAAATTTCCATAAACGTTCACTAAATTTTCTAGTTTTTAAAAATACGCATAGACTAGCCCTGAAAATTTCGGGATGGGTATCCGGTTCCCACCCGTACCTGTTTTGAATTTCCCGTCCCGTTCCTATTCCCGTTTTAGAAAATTTCCGTTCGGGATCATTTATTTTATTTAAACGGGTAAGGAAAAGGATAAGGAATCGTATCGGGAACCTGAATTCCCGTTTAAAAAATTAATATTTCAAAAAATTACATAAATTCCCAAATTTTGTTGAATTTTACCGATATTTTCTAAAATTTTCTGAAAATTTCCAAAATTTCCCAAAATTTTCCAAAATATATGTTTTTAAATTGAGAGTTTGGGATTCTCGTTCCTGTCCCATACCCGCAGATTCCCGTTCTGTACCCGTAATTTCCCGTTGTATTTTTGTTGGACTCCCTTATGGAAATCATTTATGAATTTCCAAATTTCCCGTTCTCGTAAATTCCCTTCCCGAATCCCGAAATTTTCGGGGTCATAGTATACTGTGTTCAGTTTTTTTTTTTTTAAATAATGAGTTGAGATATAATGTTGTAGCGTCCTGTACAAGTTACCACCAGATTCTGCTTGAGGAAGTTGTACAAGGAGGCGCATATCAATACGTAGTAGTGTTTATTCGCAGAAAATATATTAGCTGCGAATCATCTTCATCTTGATTTTTGTAATTTATGATTT